CCAGAGAGGCTCACACACGAGTTTGGGGCCTAAGGCTAAGTTCCCAGAGTTCCGAGTGAGCCAGACCGTCGGGGGAGGGGGGGAATGGGATTTCTGGCACGAAGGATCCCGGGGACGGACAGGAGGTGGGGGAAGCGGACATCTGGAGGTAAAAAAAAATGTCCTCCACCCGCCAACGGTAACCGGTAACTACAACAAGGATGCGCCGCCGCCTGGAGGGGCTGCCGGGGGCGAGGGGAGAAGGGAGAAGGGAGAAGGGCCGCGGGCAGGGGGAGGGCGAGCCGTTTCATCCCTCTTGGCCACATAGTGGGGGATTGAGAGAATTCAAGTGTTGTGAGCATGGGAGGTTCTCTGTGCACCTGCAGTGCTGCACAAATAACCGTCATCTTGAGTCACACCCAGGACTTGTGGCAGATGGTAGGCTCACTGCATTCACCAGAGGGTGCCAAAACCAGAGCTCCAGGCTCTTTACCCTGGCCTTGCCAAACAACAGCAGTGGGCAGATGTTGACATTTTCAACCTGTTGTTCCAGTGTCTGATCAGGAAAGAGGTGGGGCATGGAGGGTTGGAAGTCACTGGGTGGGGTACCCAGGTTCAAAACCCAGAAGGGTTACTTTTAAAGGCATTTAACCTCTCTCAGCCTTAGTGTCCTCATCAGTAACACGAGTTCTCATGAATATCCGCCCTTCACTGTAGTTAGTATCAAGTCACATGCTGAGGAAGAAATTTGTAACTTGCTGGATTTGTACATGGTACTTGATAAGCAGCTGGAGCCAGATGGGGGAGCTGAAGGCCAGCAGACATTTGGCAGAAACTAGGGGACACATTTGCCTAGCATGCATGATTTGCATGGGTATGATTCCCCAATATTTGGGTATGATTCCCCAATATTTCAAGAAAAGAAAGGAAGAAAGGAAAAAGAAAAATCACTGAGGAAAAATCTGTTAAGATTTAATACTAGAGAATAAGGGCACCAACTTGTTAAGAGTAAAATAAAAGGAAAAACAAATCATGACTCCCAACTAATTCAAGTTTTTCAGATCCTGGGTAGAGGAAAACCTGATGTGGGCTAGGATCTCACTACATAGCCCAGGCTGGCTTTGAACTCACGATCCTCCTGCCACAGCCTCCGGGATGCTAGGAGTACAAACTTGTACCACTACACACAATTGAGAGAATAGCGCTGACTCCTGAGAGAATCTGCCTGTGTAGAAACAGCTCTGCCATCTGTGGGATGTGTGGCCAGAGCCCAGCTACAAGCTGCTAAGAAAGGGCTGTAGTGCAGCTGCTGGGCTCTGCCTCAATCTCTAAACTGAAAATACGCTCCACAGATGATACCAGGCCCATCACAGCTGGGGGCTTTAAGAAACTATCTGAGACCCACTGTCACTCTCGATTCCCATCAGAACCAGTACTTGGAGGATGGGGGCAGATAGGAGAAGCACACGGAAGCTACTCTAGGCAGAAGACTGGGAAAAATCTCCCTTTTCCTGCTCCACTCCCTTCCCTGTGAACCTGGAGAACCCCGAATAAACCTTCCAGACTTTAGCTGCTTCGTGTTTTCTTAACCTCCAATCACCTTTCCCCACGGAGCACATAAATATCTCCATGCCATGTCCTCAGTGTAATGGGACTTGGGTTTCCAGCTCCTCCCACAAGGCCATTTTCTGAATAAACTTTCTCTTTTACAAAATGAGTTCTTTCTCCCATTAGGATATTACATGGCTGTCAAGGCAGACCTGGGAACACCAGCTTCCTGCCCCCTTTGGGCCCAAAGTCTCCTATCTCTCCTCCTCCTCCTGTACTCCACTCTGTTGCCATTTAGCCACCCCAAAAGCTCACGACACTCCTTTCTTAGAAGGGTCTCCTCTGTTCACTGCCCAGAGAATGATGTACAAGGCGTTCAGTCTGGAATTCAGGGTCTTCTCAGACCAGGGGTGTAGACAGTGAAGCAGGGGCACTGATGAGCAATGTCCGTGCTTTGGGGTTAAGTCAAACACAGAGTCCTGTTTACGATGGGTGGTGGAGGAGAGAAGTAGAGAGAATGACTGATTCTCATTGGTCAAATGTGTCACCAAGCAAGTGGGATAAAGGGGAGTTAGAAGTGAGCGGATGTGAAGAAAACACACCTGTTTCTTCCATGTCTGCATTTTGGGACAGACATCCCTCTGGTTTCCAGCTGGACTTTGTAACCCTCAACATATTCACTAAAGTCTTTTCTATGTGTTGGCCTCCTTTTTAGTATTAGAGGGTTCATTTATTTCGTGGTTTATTGCCCCCTGCTGGACACAGGGTGGCTGATTAGCCATGTTGGAGGGAAATGCTGAATGAACAAGGCGAGCAAGCAGCTAGAGGTTGAATGAAGAGTTCAGAGAGCAGAGATGGAATGATAGCATCAGGCTATCATTTGTATGTGAATGTGTATCTACCTATCCCTATCTATAAAGAAGGAAAGAATTGACAGGGGAGGTGATTGCCATGTCACTGGCCTTCTCTACAAAGTCCAGAGGATCAGTCCTTCTACTCCACTTGGCCTGGTGTTAGCAGGGGGGCATAGATAAACACATTATGAACATAAAGGAAGCCAGGCATAGAGGCACATGCCTGTAACCCCAGTACTTCAGGGAGGTAGGTGTGGAAGGATCTCAAGTCTGAGGCTAGCCTGGACTACACTACAAAACCATGTCTCAAAAACCAGTACAACTGAAAATCTAAAATGCAAGCTGGGGATATTAGATCATGCATCACTAACCCTCTGTAAGGCAGAAACAAAGTTCAAAGTGGCTTCAAACAGTTAAAGAAACAGACCAAAATTAGCAACAGTCAAGAGAGCAAAGACCTGGCCAGGGGGTGGATGCCCCAATTCAGCGGTTGGAGAGCTGATCCTGGAACTGGAAGACCTGATGTGATGCCACCGGGGCCTGTATCCCTAGACTGATAAAGGTGACACCTCCTTTCTTGGAAGCCTCTCCTCTGCCACTGCCCAGGGAATGGTGTTCAAGCCTGGAATTCTGGGTCTCCTGAGACCAGGGGTGTCGATGGTAGAGCAAGGGGACAGATGAACCATCTATTGATTGGAACAGTCTGGCAATCAGTTCTGGATTCAAAGCATGAATTTCCTTCTTGCTAAATGAATGGCACACCATCAAGACAGTTCTCTGTAAAAAGTCAATGACAATATTCTACCCTGCAATGTTAAAGCTGCCAGTGTGAAGCACCTATCACAGAAAACACTATGCATGTTCAGTTTAGGTCCTCTACCTACCCTTTAAGCTGGTGTCAAGGCCAAAAATGAGGACCACAACAATGGATCTGGAAAGGAATGGGCTAACCATCAAATGCAGAAGAAAAGCCTGGAGTGGAGGGAGGGTCAGAATGGACCACAGGCTGGCTAGACTGTATCAGTTGGCCTAGGAATCGGGCTGAGCACTTGGCTGAAGAGTCAGGAAAGGCAAAAGACCAAAGGGTGCCTCACACACTGTGAAGAGGACAGTCAGATGTTCACAAGGACAGAGGAAGGGGGTTCTGGTGGCTAAAGGCTGAGGCAGGACGCCAGCCCTGGCTTCCCCTAGGAGACAAGTTGATTGATTGCATATGTAAATGTGTGTGGTGATCAAAGTGCCTCTGACCACAGCAGGGTTGAAAAATAAAAACAAAAACAGGCTTGTGTCTGCCTCCATCAGTCAATGAATGGAGGCTTTCCGATGACAACCGGGTAGTCACCAATCCAATCACAGGGGATGAGCCGTTCAGGCTATGCGTCCACTGCTGCCAGGAGATTTAGCTGGGGCCATCCTTGTAGACTTGTGGAAGTCTCCCTTGCATCAGGTTTCTATCCTACTCTGTAAAGTCTTCCTTTCCAGTCACTTCTCGGCACTCTCCCACTCTGTCCACCCACCAGCCTGATCCCTGAAGTCCCCATGGCCACCCACTCCCAGTCTAAACACAGGGGGAGGCGCTTGGTATGCCATGCTTTGCTCATGCTCATGGGAGGCCTGCCCCTTTCTGAGGGAATATGGAGGCAGGGTAGATTGAGGAGGGGAGGGGACTTGGGGGAGGGAGTGGGAGGAGAGAAGGGAGGGAAGGCTGCAGTTGGGATGTAATTTTCATAGTAAATGAAAATTAAAAAAAACAGGCTTGTGTTAATAATGTAGGAAACTGCAGTCTAGTGTGAGAAAGCACTTCCACCAGAATGTCAGCTCGGTGTAGTCACTCAGGGGGCCCAGGTGGCACCGGGAGGAGGGGGAATCTGAAGCAAGGCTCTTGTGAGGGAGATCGTGGGAACTGAAGGAAAATGAGGGAAAATGCACTTACTGGAGCATCTTCCCGGCCACCTTGGAGTTATAGATATCACACCTGTGCAGAGGGCCCACATGGCCTGCGGCCCTGCACAGTGCTTCATGAAACTGAAACTGGAGCACTAGGCTGAGGAAATACCTGGGTAGAGGAAGAAGAAGGGAAACTATGGAGGGGAGGCCAGGTGTGGGAAGCCCAGACCAGCTGAGGTATGGAGTGGTCACAGGAACCCATATTTGCACTTTCTAGAACTTCTCCACCCAGTCCCCATGTCTCTCAGATCCCAGTCAGCTCTGCCAACAGGGCCCAGACCTTTACCGGACGTAGGGCACACTGGCAGAAACATGGAACTTGGCCCCTGGGTCGAAATCTTCTTCTGACCGAGGAACAGGTGGGCACAGGCCCTGGAACTTCAACCTGGTGGGAGAGAGACGGGAGCTTGGCCATCGTTCCTGGAAGGTTCTCAGAGCCTTTTCTTGTTTGAAGTATGTGTGTAGTTCAGCCAGTCTGGGCCTGGCTTGCAGATTCAGTGCATTTTCCTTGACCAGACAAATGAGAACACATGGATTCAAAACTCAGGAATTGCAGTAACAGTGATTGGGCATGTCACTTGCTCTTCCTGGGGACTCCCTCTCACTCAACACTGGCATAGTCTCTGTGGAGATGCCATCAAATGACCAAGTGAGGTCAGGTCCTTGCTTACATCTATCCTATGGGGTCAGACTGTAGACCAGGATACAGGTCATCTTATCTAAACAGTGCTAAGAAGAAAATAGAAATTCAGGTGTAGTGGCGCATGCCATTATTCCTAGCACTCAAGAGGCAGAGGCAGGTAAATATCTGAGTTTGAGGCCAGCCTGGTCTACAGAGCAAGTTCCAGGACGGCCAGGGCCATACTAAAAACAACAACAACAACAACAACAACAGCAACATAACAAAAACAAAGACAAACAACAAAACCCCAGAAGGGTCCCTGTGCTGTTGTAGTATTAGCACTGTTTGCCTTTTACAGAACAGTCAATCAAAGTTTTAAGGCCAGGGAACTGGTCACAGGACACAGTCACCAGCAGCCTTCATCATCTGGAGCTCTGGCGCAGGTTCTACGATCCTTGTGACGGTGGGAGACCATGAAGCTGAGGGAATCTGCACTTTGTTGTGAAGGAGATGAGATGCCTAGCTTTGGGAGGAGACACCCACGAGTAGGTTCATCGCTCATTGTTGGCTCATGGGTACCTCTGATCAGTCCCTGGAGCTGACAGAATAGTGAGGGTATCTTTTCTGAAGGTTCTTTTTACAACCTAAGGAAAGGTAGCCCTCACTCTGTCCTGGGTTCCATTGGCTGGTTGATGGCGGGCATGGGTGGTAGAGGAGGGAAAGGGGACCCTCTTTGGGTGCCCTGGTGGCTGGCGTGGCCACACTCGGAGGGCACAGGCCAAAACACTGCTGACCACACAGTCAGGGAGTAGCAGGACTAATGGAGGAGCAGTCAGTTCTCTAACATGCTAGAATGCAGTGTGACCCTGGGCTGGTTATATGACCTCTGAGTGTTGGTACTAAAATCCCGTTGAGCCAGGGCACTTGATAGGGCAGTTGCAAAGATCCAAATGATCACAAGAGCCTGGTGCAGAGCTGTATATAGGCCACCCATGTGTTCAGAAATCTTGGACTTGGTAATCTAACGCCCGATAGACATGGAGAAGCCTTGGTTATGGGCATTTTCTGTCCAATCAACTGACCTGCTTGACAGCCACTGAGCTTTTCTGTAGTCTGGAGCTAAGGCTCCAGCATGCATGTGTGCCTCTTTCTCATGGGAACTTTTTCCAGCAAGCAAAGTACTCAGGCCTCTCTCTCCCTTCTCCTGGACTTCTGTGGAGGGAGCAGGCAGCAGGAGCCTGCTTGTTGGTCACTGGGTTTTTGCTTTTTGTTTTTTTGCGATTGTCTTTTGAAGAGAAAGTCTCATGTGGTCCAGGCTGACCTCCAACTGGCTATGTAGTCAACAAGCTGCTGGCCATGCCTGCAAGACCCTGTCATCTCCTCCTGCCTCCTGATCCTCCTGCCCCCACCTCCCAGGTGCTAGGGTTATAGGCATGAACCACCACACCTAGTTACTGCTCTGTTCTCAGAGAGGCCTAGTTGATTTCATGGTGTGAGATTCCAGACCAGTCACAGAGCACACAGAGTCACTGCCAGGGCCCCCATTTCACAGATGAGACAGAAGCACTGTCTCTGCTGGCACCAGATTGAGATCAAGGCATCATGGCCACCATGCTGACTCTATGCATTCTGTCACATTCTTTTGCCTAGTAACAGCAAACAGCACACATGGCCTGGCTTCCCTAGGTTCCCAGGACATCAACACTGCAGTCTTGGCAGGCATCCACCTTGCACACCTGAAGTTCCACCACTCCTGGTTGTAGATGTTCTTGGAAATAGTGCCATCAAAGACCTTCCAACGAAACACGTCCATCATGTAGCTGAATGGGATGAAGGCAATCTTCTCCAGGGCAATGCCTAACAGGTAGTTGACCTCCTCCTCTGGGGATGGGGTCAGGGCAATCAGGAGGCAGCTTCTTGGTCCTCCCTTCAGCCTTGCTCTGAGGGCTTTAGTCCCCTTCAGCCCTAGCTGAAGCCCCAGGCTCAGGCTGCCCTCCCTTTATCCCTTTGGTCCCCATCACCTGAATCCTGGTTCGGGTGGCTGAGCAGACCTCTGTTGAGCAGGTGCTTGTGGGAAGAGGCTGAGAGGGTGATCACTGACCCCACAGCCTCTTCAAAGGCTGGGCTGGCACCTTGTTGGTAGATTATAGAGAGGTTCTGGAACTGCAAGTAGTACTGGATATGGCCCATCTGGTGGAAGATGGAGAGCAGGTCTTCTAGGGTCACCTCGGTGCACTTCTTTACCCTAGGGTTAAAGGGTAGGGGTCAAGGAGCATGGGGATGCCCTGGGGACACTCAAAGCTTCTTCATTCAAACTTCATTAAGGCGTTGATGCCATCAAGCTGTAGACCAGAGGGCCTTGGTACCATGTTTCCCACTCTAGACTCTGTATCCACCCAGTGACCATGCCCATCATGACTCTCTATGCCGACCTTCTCTTCCACACCTCTGCATCTCATCCCCCTCCCCCAGCCCTGCTCTCCCCTGCCCACTCCCTGCTGCATGGCCAGTGGGGAACAGAAGAGGGGTAACAGCAGGGTGCTGGCTGAAGACCACGTTGGCTGTAGATACCTGACATCATCGCCTTTGTAGAAGTTCCAGGAGGAGGCATGACACTCTACTTCCCGCCCATCAGCTGGCCTCTCCAGCATTGATTTTATCCAGAAATCAGGGGGGGCGGACAGCAGTCCCAAAGAGGTTAAGAAGATGTTAGCCTCTTGAAACATTTTTTCAGGCCTCCAGTTCTGTGGGGGAAAGTGGTAACATGGGTCTGTCTGCCCATTTGCCTAAGGGGATTGTAGGCCGGGGACATCCAAAAGCTCAGCACTGACCTGGTTCTTCATGATCTTTGTGATGTCCTCAGGTGGCTTTTTTGGGAAGGGCAGCACCAGGTCCAGGATGTTGTCCCAGGACTGAGCCCACATATTCCCTGGAAAGGGAGTGAAGGGGCTAAGGGGAGGCAAGAGTGGCCTTCCTTCCTGTCTCCCTCTGCCACCAGTCTGGCCCTTACCCAGGAGGTGGGCAGGGATGGGCCCCCGCAGGTCGATGATCTCAGGCCCATAGTATCGGTACAGTGATCGTCGCACATAGGCATGGAGGTTCAGGTAGAGCGGCTGCAGTTCCTCAAAGAGTTGTTCCATGTCTTCTTTCAGGGTGTCAGTCTCGTACTGGGATCTCCACAAAGCCCCCATGTCTTTGTACCCTAAGACAGGAGAAGAGACTCATGAGTGCTCACCGTACCACCCTGCCCCCAATGAACCCGCATGGAGGAGACCCAGACACACTCCAAAGAAGCATTTCTACCTCCCTGCTCCTCGGGGGCCTTGGGTGTGAACACGACCTCCACAGGCGTGCCCACCCTAGACTAGCTCAGAGGCAGAAAGCATCCAGAGACTCACAGTAGGAGCTCCTGGTCGTGCCTTGTGAGATTCTATCCTTTCCGATGGCCATGTCCCAAGCCCCAAATTACCCAAAGCCCTGGAGTCATCTTCTTTCTCATCTCCTAGAACCCTGGTTTCCTTCCACTGTGGAGCAGGGTGTCTGTGTGGATACTTTCTTCCTGCTTGTCTGTCTCCTACTCATTTTTCCAGCATGGGTAAATGTCAGAGAAACCTGACCATATATATCTGAAGCTCTCCTCTCCCCTGCCCTCCCCAGATCCTAGAACCCCCTTCTTCCATGCATCATATTAAAAGGGAATTAGAAATGTGTGTGTGCTGGAGGAGGCTCACCCCCCAAGCCAACTGCCCGGAGGAAGTCCACGAGGCAGGCATCCATCTTTTCACTTACAGAGTCTCAGGGTCTCTCCAGCACCCAGCCCACTGTGCAGGCTCTATCTTTATTTGCAGGACCCGTTACAGTAGGGCTCATGTTGCCCCTACACTGTCCACACCCATTTTGCTGTTGCCTGCCCCCTCTGCAGCTTTGGCTCCTTTCTTCTCCTGGGCATTGACCTAGACATTATGCCCCGCCTGGTTACCGTTATATTGCGCTGCCTTGTTGCTGAGATGTACATAGTACTCGTAGACAGGGCGGATCTGGCGACCCACAACATCCCGCCAGCCCCGCCAGGCCCATATGAGCTCCTTCTGGTCCCTGGAGGTGGCCATGATTTCTTCAAGTTCTGTGACCACAACAGGAGCCGCATGAGATGCCATGCCCGCCAACCTCTATTCTTACCCACCCCTTGGTGCTTCCCCTCCAGCAACAGAACACAGTTGAGGTCAGGGGCAGGGCTTGGTTGCTCACCAGGCTCCAGAGACAAGCAGGGACCCTCATCCATGCACACCTCAGCTGTACTGTATGTTGTCTCCATGTAGGTCAGAAGTCTGTTGTACTGAGGGGGCAAGTGTCACCCAGGGCAGGCCCAGGCCCTGGGGCCCACTCCCAACATTAGCCCCACCAGCCAGGAGAGGTAGACCTGGCTAAAGTACCCCCTCCTCCTCTTGAGGAAGCTCTGGTTCCACCCCACCAGCACCCCGTCCTGCCCCAGATACTCTCTGCTCCCAGTCAGACCTGACCCACCCTCCCCTGGGTGCGGGCGTGTGTGCCGTGGCGTCCTGGGGCTCTGTCTATCACCTCCCGGAGATCCTCCGTGGGCAAGGCCGACTTGTCTACGTTCTGCAGCTTACTCAGCATGCGCTTCACTTCCGGGTCGTGGAAATAGTTTGTCTTAAACATGCGAGCTCGGCTACCAAAGTACAACATGAGCTGAGACCTCTCCATCTCCTTCTGCAGCTGGAAAGAAGGTCATCGTATGGGTGTGGCAGTTTGGGGGATGCAGAATGGGTCCATGCTGAATTCCCACTTTAAGGGTCCAGAGTCATTGAAGATTTGCTAAAAGGGAGGGGATGCTCAAGTCCTTAAAAGCAAGGAGGTAAAACTTGCGAGGGAAACGAATCCAGACATTCTTATGTAGAGAAAATCCAAGGCCACTGAGCGGCCTGGAGCTTGCAGCCCACTTTGATGTTTGTTTTGGGGTGTCCCTCTTTCCACATACTGTGGACTCAGGGCAGGAACTATGATCCCCAACCTCCAGGATCCCTAAGAAGATCAAGGGGAGGAAGAACCTGGGGGGAAACGGTACCACACCATGATCTCTCGATTTCGCCTGGTGATGTTGGTGACATAGTTCCAAGTGGCCTCCATGAACTCGTTCAACACAACTTTGGCTGTTTGCTCGTAAAACTGCAGGAACAGCCTTGCCTGAGTTTCATTGTAGAACTCATCTGCAGGGAAGGGGATCATGTGGCCTGGGGAAGGGTCTGCCCCTTCCCAGTCAGAGCTCTTATTTGGTCCTTCCTTCAGGTCCCAGCCGTACCTAAGCTTGGCTCTCCCACAGTCCTGAGCCATAGCAAGAGCTGCCCATAACAGAGGAGCACAAGTAGGGAAAGTCCAGGGCAAGTCCATCTTGTTCCCATGACCAAGAGAACAGCAGAGCCGGGAGAGGCAATGGCCAATCACGAGTCAGCTCCATGTTTGTGACATCAGGGGCCAAAGGGTCTACCATGGAATGTTAGAACTAGAAAGATTGCTCACCCAGCTTCTTGTGCAACTGCCCCCTATTGTGCAGGCTGGGAAACATCTGAAGTCTAGTCCAGTCCAGTCCAGTCATGTGGCCTGGTGTCCATGGCTAGCTAGTGGCAGAGCTAAGAGGAGAATTTGACTTTTACGCCACAACTTATTCTATTTGGTCACTTTTCCCTGGGGTTGGAGGAACCCTTGGGCTTTGGCTAGGGGCTGGTGAGACATCCTCCTTCAGAGGCTGGGCTTGAATAAGGGGGATATTAGGTAGAAGGTTGGATGGATGGATGGATGGATGGATGGATGGATGGATGGATGGATGGATACATGGGCAGCAGTTATATTTTTGGGTCTTTAGACTCTGAAAACCTAGTTGTCTTACCAGCTTCTTCTGACATGATCTCTTAGGCCCATATTTTTGGCCTTTTTCTTTCAGGAAACGTGATTAACTCCAGGGCTCTCTTTCTCTTCCCCTCATACAAGCTTCAGTAGGAGCCATCAGGGCTTTTTGGGGGTGTGGAGAAGTATGGCTCATATTCTCCATTCAGGGTCCATGTCCATGAGTACCTGAGCCTGTTTTCCAAACCAACCATGGGACTCTGTTCCCTGCTAGCTCTTGGGGACTCCCAACTACTCTAGTGCATAGACTTTGGGAGGGCAGCCCAATCTTTTGCACTTCAGGATTTCTTTCTTCGATTCTCACCCCTGTACCTGCAGACTCTCTATACCCAGAATGTCCTTCACAACCTCAGCCTAGTGGGCCACCCACCCATTTTACATATGCTGACACCATAACCATTGAAACGGACAACAATTCCATCCCCAAATATTAGTCATTGTTGTCAAAACATTTAAAATATAAGGAAAGAGGGTTGGGCTGGTTAAGCTTACAGAGAAGCCCTTCTTGCTTTAAGCATAGACGTGTTGATAAGACAGGATGTGGGGCATAGGCATGATGGTGCATGGCAAGACCCCTGTCTAAAAGAAGCATAAGGTTTTGCATTGTTGTGATCGGGTCTTGCTCTGTAGCCTAAGGCTGGTCTTGAACTAAAAATGTTTCTGCCTTAACCTCAGAAATTTTGGAATCAAAGGCATATATCATCATTCCCAGAGTAAATACAAAATGCAGAGCTGAGCTAGAAAAGGAGAAAGGGACCCTCCAGATAGTAGACTAAAGACAATGAAGAAGTGAGTAGGGCTGGAGCCCTGTGGCCACCTGGGAGGTCACTGCCTCTGCCACAAAGCTGCAGCACTGGAACCCAGAAGGTTTGATTCTCTTCCTTCCTTCCTTCCTTCCTTCCTTCCTTCCTTCCTTCCTTCTCCCTCCCTTCCTCCCACCCTCCCTTCCTTCTTTCCTCCAATCCCTGACCCCTTTCTTTTTAGAAAGGGCCTCTTGGAGCCCAGCCTAGCCTTGGACTTACCTAGCTGAGAATGGCCTTGAACTGCTGCTGCTCCTCCTATCTCCCTAGTACTGCAAGCAGTCCTGGTTTACATGGTGCTGGGGATTACACCAGAGCCTTGTGAATGCCAGGCGGGCACTCTATGGACTGAGCTACATGTGCAGCTCACACAGATGACTCGTAAGTGAATCTTCTCAAACAGAAGAGAAAATCTAGGGTCAATTGTAGTCAATAGCCAGCCCCACAGAGGACTTTCCAAGGACTGAGCACCGTGAGGGAACTTTCACCATCACAGTCCTTGTAACAAACCCATGAGGTAGGCACTTTGCTCAACACCCTATTTTTAAATGGAGACAAGCAGAGGGGCTAAGGAACTTGCTCACAAGACACACAGGTAGCAAATAATGGAAGTTGGACTCAAATCCAAATGCTCTGGTTCCAGAGCTTGCACTCATTGACATAGAAACAGTGAAATGGAGCCTATTCCACCAAGGAAAGAACACGAAGTTGTTCTCAGACTTTCCCCATGTGTGCTGTGGTAAGCAACCCCCAATAAATAAATGCAATTTAAAACAAAATAAAACCCACAATGAGTTATGAAAAATATGTACTGGCCAGATAGCCAGGTGTGGTGGCTCACACCTATAATTCTGGTACTCCAGATGCTGAGGCAGGAGTATTACCACCTCCTCTTTTCTGTTTTCAGGTGGACCCCATCCCTCCTCACTCACCCAAGAAGCATAAACAGAAATTTGAACAAATGTAATGTTTGAAAATGTTGGCAGATGCATATAACCCCAGTACTTAGGAGGCTGAGGCAGGAGGATTGAGAATCTGAGGTCAGTCTGGATTATATAGAAAGACTACTGCTTCAAAACACAAACATTCCAAAACAATATGGGAAGTGCTTGCTGTGTGAGCATAAGGACCTAAATTCAAATCCCCTGAACCTTGTAAGAGCCAGGCACATGTATGCATGTCTAGATCTGACAGGAGCAGCAACAGAAGGCTGTCTCAGGCTTCATGGCCAGTAGGCTAGCGGAATTGACAAGATCATGGTTCAGTAAGAAACTTTGTCTCAAAAACTAAAGTGGAGGGCTGGTGAAACCATTCAATAAAGGTGCCAAGCCTGACAACCTGGTCCCCAGGTCCCACACAACAGAAGGAAAAGAACCAACTTCTGCAAGTTGTCCTCTGACCTCCACACGTGCTACATGGTATCTGCATGTGCACAAGCCCTGCCTGCCATACAGTAAAAACAAAATCAGGGTGGGGTCCGGCGAGGGGGCACGGTGGGTAAAGCCTGACAACCTGTGTTCCATCCATAGAACCCTTTGGAAGGAGAGAACAGACTTCTGTAAGTTGTCTTCTGAGCTCTACACTGAGTGTCAGAGTATGTGAGCACACGTGAGCGAGCACCCCCCCCCACATGCGCACGCATACATGCTCGAGCGCACACACACAAAATTCTTTGCCCTCAGTCTGAAGCTTGTTCCTTTGGGTGAAGACTGGTGACCTCACATTGCCCACATCCCTGAAAGGCAGTATGAACCTCTGTAGTTTATAAAAATAGGAAAGGAGGTTATGTGATAATGACCTTTGTCTGACAAATTGTAAAACACAGGTTGGGAAGGGGGTGGGGTAGGGGAACTAAAGTCTATGGTATATGGACTGGAACAATCTAGAGGCTATGTTTGTAAGTTTCATTGTCTTGCTGAATTGTAAACGTCCACCCTCTTGCAAATCCAAAATTCCTCAACTCCAAATCCTGCGTGTGCGTACACACACACACACACACACACACACACACACACACACACACACACACGTACGTGCTGGAGACTGAGCAGTAAAAACCAGGCTAAGGATATTGGGGACCAGAAATTGGAGTCATGAACTAGGCCTACTAGGATGAAAATATCAGCAAAGCCTAGAGACAGTTTGAGCTGAGGGTCCATTTAACAGAGGTGGGACCAGACTGGAAGGCAAGACTCTGGCCCAGAAATCTGACCAATTTCCATTTGGTCAAGAGCTAAGTTTTGTAATTAAATACTTGAAAAGTAGATACGTTTATGTTAAGGGGTGGAGATACACAGAATACTGTGGTATCCTATGTACATTGGGTATAGAGGGAGCAAGCTGGGACAAAGCACACTAAAGTGTCAATAGGGCTTACATTTCCTGATGTTGCTATATCATGGGCTTTTATTCAGAGTTTTCCAAATTTCCTACATAAGCATGTAGAGAAAAACTATTTTTAAAATTTTCTTAAAATAACACCCTCCCCCCCCAAATCCAAGTAGGCCTTCCAAAGGATGGCTCGGGGTGAGGGTGTGTGTTGTGGGATGAGCTCGGGGTGAGGGTGTGTGTTGTGGGATGGCTCGGGGTGAGGGTGTGTGTTGTGGGGCGAGCAGGTGGCCTATAGCAGCGAGCCCACCGCTATGGCTCCTCCCCCTGGGTAGTGCCTGTGTGGTGTGGCTCCGTCTGGGAACCCAGGGTGTCCACACACAAAGTGGACAACAGAGCTGGCAGGAGTGGCAGGAGTCTAAGTGACTGTGGGGGCTTCTTCCCGCTCAGTGAGCCAGGCCCTTCCAGGGCCCCCACCCTGTGGCAGAAAGGCATCCAGGACCTTCCTCCTGAGACACCTGCAGAGGGCTCAATGTGGAATGGATGTGTGGGAACAGGGCGGGCCCTCCATATGCATCCACACGCAAGCGCTAGCGGGGAGGCAGCCTGCAGCACCTGCTTCTTGGGATCCTGGCCCGCCCCGCCTCCTGCCCATGCTGGGGACTGAACAGTTGGGCAAGGACTGTTTGCTGTGGCAGGACCTGGGCCACCTGACCGGGGCTGTTAGGAAGGCCAGGAAAGGTTGTAGGGGATGGGGGCCAGAGCACTTAGGATTACTTGGGTCCCTGCTTGGAGAGACCCTGAGAAGGCAATTGGGAAAGGGGCCTGCCGGACTGTCAGGAGACAGCAAGCAGCCCCTCCTGTCCCTGACTTCCCCACAAGGGACACAGAGTCAGGTGTCTGGGAGGACCTTTAATTATATTCACAGAGGCTGGATGGGGAATTCCATGTTAGAAGCTGGGTATCAGAGAATGGGGGCTGGGACTAGGGACGGAGAGTGGGTGGGGAAAGGGCAGGAGGAGGAAGGCCCAGCTAGAGTGTGCTCCACCCACAAAACGCGTCCCCCATCCAACTTCTCGTGGGATACTCCTGTCAGACTCGACAGCAGGGTCACCTCAGGAGTGTCTGAGCTCCACCTCAGACCCAAACTGGGGCCCACGATGGGGCCGGTGGAGGCTGTGATGTTGGCGGATGCTGAAGAGTCGATGGGTGAGACCCAAGGTGGCCACAAGCAAGGAGACGCCTAGGAAGAGCAGCACCCATTGGCCCACACGGGCCTGCTGTGGCTCCAGGTACATGCCCAGGAAGTTGACTCGACCAGACTCTGGAAAGGGGCCTTCTGAGCGAGCTGAGCGAGGAAGCAAGGAGAC